GCTCACACTCACACATCCACAACCTGACTAGTAAATACAACACCAAATTTAGCTGATATTCTTTGAGATTGTGTTTCTGTTGATAGTTTATCAATTTTTGTTGGCAGATTTGCTGATGCTGAGGTTCCATCTGATGATGATGTAAGAACAGTTGAAGGTTTGTTTAATGGTGAAATTTCCGATTCAGTTTGAATTATTGTTGATGATGTTTGTTTTTTCATTGGAATTATTTTCGGTTTTTCATCATCAAGTTTAAGTTTTAATCTATTTTCCTTGATCAGAACTGAAAGACTCTTAAACCGATTTTCTTCGATTCGCATCACTTTTAAGCCATTCTTTAATTAATATTAAATCAAATATAACTGAAATTAATCATAGCAATCAACACAATTTTAATTTTTTTCGATTAATTTTCATTATAATTCAATAAAGGTGTACAACTTTAATCGACTTTTAATTAAACGGTAATCGATTTTCATCTATTTTTTTCTCTAACTTTCTTTACATGGAGAAATACTAGATAAACTCTGAAATATTAACCTACATTAACAGCCTTAACGAAAAACAATTAAAATCCATTGAAAAGAGAAAAGTCCTTCTGTTAAGAGAAAAGTGACACATGAAGATAGTAAAGTCCATCTAAAGTCCGCTGAGAAATAGAAAAGTTGGGTATGCCATCAGTGTGACATAAATTTGGTGTTCTTTTGATTGACTGGTAAAGTCCTTCTATTCGCTCGCGGACTTTAGGTAAAGTGAACAATTTCGGAATCTTTGACAGTCCTCTTTATTCGATGAAAAAAAAATGATCAAAATGAGAATCTACCTGTATTTACCACACGTATTACAAAAAACACGTTTCACTGAATGCCGATTACAAACAAATTCTGAATATTTACAACATTTATTTGAATTTTTATGGCCCTCGGAAAATGAGAGATTGAATATCGTTTGCGTTTCGATTGAGGGTGGGTGTGGGTGTGGGTGTGAATGTGGGTGTAGTTCTTTTCTCATTGCATTCCTACATCCACACCCACACCCGCATAATGTGAGCAATCGCTTACATTTTCGTATGAAACAATAGTGAGTATTTGGATGGATAACAGTATAGAATGATTATATAGTTCATGAATCATGAAGTCTCATAGGTTCATCGCCCGTTGAGGCGAACCGTTGTTCGAATCAATTTTTTTCATTGTCTTCTGCCCTGTGCTAGGTGGAACAGGTCGTGTCCGTTACGTCCGCACCACTTCGTAATGTCATCCATCTACTCTCTGCATGGACGACCCTTACGATGTTTTCCGTTTATCCTAGCAAATAGTGTGTATTTTATCAGCCTATTATCGTCCATTCTACAAATATGGCCTAACAGTCTCAGTTTTCTTTTCTTGATGATGTCTATTATGGTTTCTTGCGTTGCTAGGGGTATGGGTGTGGATGTGGATAAAGAGAAGTGAATACCTACACCCAAGTTGATTGTGTAATTGCATGATAATACATAAAAAACGAACGATCAGGATCAAAACAAGAACAAAAAAGAAAAAGAAAATTCATAGAAAAAACAACAACTATCTTATTCTGACAAATGTAAGTCAAAAATTAACAATTTCGATTATTGAATAATGAAGCAAAATGAATCAAAACTACGTAGTTTAGTTTATCAACTAAAAAATATCACCTAAAACCACTTATTGTTTCGTCAGCACTTTGCAAAATATTATCCAACATTTCCAAGTCGAAGAATTAAAAATATCAAGATAAATAATACCGAAATGTTTTGCACAAATGTAACTTATATTTATGACACATAATCAAAGCGATAAAAACGTTATATCCTTCGAATTTCAAATTATTTTTCAAGTTAATGATGTTAGATGTATTTCATAATTTTAGACAGTACCCTAGCGAAGGTACTCGTCAAGAGAGTACTCAAAAAGTACTCACGCTAGAAAATGCCGCGAGTACTCATGAGTACTCGTGGGTTTTGAGTACTCATCAGTAGTATTAATGCTAGAATCCGAGTATCTGAGTACGACAATCGAGTACTTACTGTGCAATATTGAGTCTTTTGTGAGTACTCATATACAGTTTTTGTGTATTCTAATGGTTTTTTTTAAATACTCATGGATCTATATCCTATTCAGTACAAGTGTACCACATTTATTTTATTTAAATATTAAAGTAAAAACAAAAAATACATTAATACATTACGAAACTTTAAATAAAAATAAATTTGATAATTTACGATTTTACATCAAGTTAATTTTTTTACATAGAAAATCAATACTTCTCCTCCTTAGGAAAACAGAAAGATTAAAGAAATTTACGCCTTCAGAACAAGAAATCATTAGTACAGAAAAATGAATAATAAATTATTCACGAAATCAAGATATGATTTAACAATACACGTATAAAATATATAATAAGAAAAAAAACAAACATATTTCAGACTGAAAAATAGATTTGAGTTACTACTATTAAAAAACGGACAATAAATAAATAAATCGTCTATCATATGATGCATATTTCTTCGTTATAATAAATTCTAACGATATTTTTGGTGGAAGTTATTATTCATTTTTTGTTTCATTAATTTTCATCATTAATGTGAAAAAAAACTTTGTACTGATCTAGAAGGATATTTCATCTAAAATTGAATAAATGAAACCGAACATATCAACATTCACATTTTAAAGAAATATACAACCTTACTTAGGAAACGAACAGCTGAAAAATGAAAAGTCGTTATTTCATTCTTCAACTAACCATTCATAAAAGCCGCATTTATAAATTGTCGGAAAAATGGGGGATAAAAAATTTGAGTCGTTAAAATAGTTCTTTTTGTATTTTTGATTTAATTACATCAGTTTTTTGTGTTATACAATTTTATCCGATTTTTTTAATATTAGTGCATAAGTGCTTTGCCAAACATGTTGGAAAAACCGTGGATGAGTACTACATTGAGTACTCAAGCTATTGCCTTCGAGTAAATTTTAGAGAAAGAACTCATTTGAGTACTCGATAGAGTACACGAAAAGTAGAAATACACATAAAATTTCGCGAGTACTACTGCGAGTAATATGAGTACTCATGCTGGCAAGTCGTACTCGCTTGATGAGTAGTTTCACTAGGGTAAAATATCGACTTTCGACGATAAACATATTCATAGATACAGAAAAAAACCAATGCAAATGAGTATCTTACCGGTTCATCTCATTAACAACTATAAGTAATAGAATTGTTATGAAAACTAATAATTACTTTTGAAATTTTCAAGAAAAAAATATGAATAAAAATCTCGAAGTTCAATTTTCAATATTTTGAGCTATGTCGTTTATTAATGAAGAAAACAAAAAACCAAACATAAAATAAAATAAATATAGATGGTGAGAGATGACTCGTACGTGACAAATATAAATCTATTTCGTTCTGAAAGAAGAAAAAATGAAATGAAATTAATGTTTTTTTTTTCTTTATTGATCGGACAGTTCTAATAGTAAAATTATTCAATCTTGCAT